GGGCTCGGCCATGGGAACCCGGTGGGTGATCTTGGGCAAGTCACACTCTCTCAGCCTCAAGAGGACGTAAGTGGCAAACCCTCCCTGAACCAATCTGACCAAGAAAACCACACGATTAGGTCGCCATAGGTCGGAAACGACTTGAAGGCGCACGCTATACACGCGTGTGTTTAGCTCTTTTCATGGGCCGTGCCCTACATTTTTCCCGACTGTCCTACATTTGGCGGCCCCACGTCCTCCTTTGCAGTTGGGACATCTGGGCAGGAGTGCAAATTCTCGGAGGGTTGGTTTTGCCCACCCCAATACCTAGGATGTGGTCCCAGTCTCAATAACTCTGAAGCAATTGGATGGATGGAGGGGAGGGGAAGGAAAAGAGGAAAAAGGGAATAAGATTTGACACCCACCACCACCACCAGAGCAAAGGTGATCCAAATTGGGATGGCACCCTTCTCCTTCTTGGTTGTGTGTGTTGTGTGCCTTTCTCACTTATGGTGACCCTTCGGTAAACCTCTCATGGGGTTTTCTTAGCAAGATTTGTTCAGAAGGGGTTTGTCATTGCCATCCCCTAAGGCTGAGAGAGTGTGCCTTGCCTAAGGTCACCCAGTGGGTTCCATGGCTGAGCAGGGAATCCAACTCTGGACTCCAGAGTCATCGTCCAAGGCATCCCCTACATCACAATGGCTCTCTCCTTGGTTATCTAGATAAAATTTTTGCTTGTCCTTCTTTCTGAAAGACATATGATGATGTGCTTGTTAGGTTGTGTCCCCTGAAGTCGTTTTTAACTTATGGAGACCCGAAGGTGAACCTGTTACTGGGCTTTCTGGACAGAATTTGTTCAGAGGGGGTTGTCATTGCCTTCCTTTGGGGCTGAGAGAGTGTGACTTGCCTACAGTCGCCCTGTGGTTTTTCATGGCTCAGCTAGGAATGGAACTTGGCTTCTGGAGTCATAGTCCAGTGCTCAAACCACTATGCCACAGTGGCTCTGTATGAGATGGTAATAAGAGACTCTGAAGACAAGAAGTGAAGATGATGCTGCTCACCTGTAACCAGGTGAGATCTTTCTGTCTTTTCTACCTGCCCCTGTTTATTGTTTCGACTGGTAACTGCTTTCTCTCCTGGCTCTCAGGAGAGCTCTCTTGAAGGTCCCCCCCCCCCATGGCAAGGAATGGACCTGGGAACTTCTTCTTCAACTAAAAATGAAAGCAAGGCAATGGAGAAATGCTTCTCACTCCCCAGCTTTACCTCTTAATTTTACCATTATCTGCTTGGGATCAAGTCTGGTGAAGTTTTATCTGTTTTTTTAATGGATCCCTGAAATGGCACTCTAGGCAGCCGTGGACAGTAATATTTGAATAAAAGCAAATATCTATCTATCTATCTATATAGATATAGATTTGTATAGACAGATGCAGTTAAAACATCATTATACATATATGTAGATGTGTATAGATAGATGCAGTTAAAACACATCGGTAAATCCAGTAGCTCTAAAATGGTTAAGACTCCCTTAAGTAGAATTATTTCCCAAGAAATTGGGTATAGGATTGCACTAGGGTTTAATACCTTTTGCACTTCTTTCCACCCAAAGCATTTATTAGACGAAGTAGTTAAGGCAATAAACATCCCAATTCTGTTCCAAATACTGTTACTCATGGGCTCATTGATGGGATTCAGAACTGTTTTGCACAGGACAAGATTCACTTCCATGATACCAACTGCATGTCCCTGTGTGCCTATTGTCATGGATAATTTTTTGCTGTGCTAGTAGTGCCTGCAGTTTACTTCCAAAAGCGATGCCTTCATTGTTGAATCGCCATATGGAAAGTTGCCTTGGTTTGCAATCTTAGGTTTACGTAGGAATAACTCATTGTGGTTTACTCCTGAGTTAATGTGTGTAGAACTGCACCGTTGCTCTCTATGTTGAGAGGAAGATGGATTTTGAATATCATCACTTGTGGCATACAATGGAAATGTCTGGATACAAATACTATTCTTGTCTCCATATGCTAATAGCAACATTGTATTGCATTTCTCAGGAAAAATGTTAGGCGTGAAAGGTGCTTAGTGTATGTAAAGTGTGCTAGAATCACAACATTATAACTGGTCAGCTTTGGTTTATTTATTTTTCCTTCAGGTGATTTTTATATTTATTTTGGAATGCAATTACTCAGATGAAGAGGCTTCAGAATGCAAAGTTCTCTGAGCAGGAAATACATACAGTCATATATGCTTTACTTATATTTACGACATTCAAGGTCCTGTGCAGACAACACAGTCCAATCTTCATTCTGTAACACAGAGCTTATGCATCTCCTCTCTGTTGTTTTGTGCATAAATTTCCTCCTTTCTGTGGTTTGCTGTTACCACAATTTAGCATTTGATGGCTTGCTACACTATAGCTTAGCATTATGTCCACAGTGGCATCAGTCAAGGTTTGCAGATGCATTTCAAAGCATTTATTTATTTCATTTTTATGAAATATGAATTATGAAATTTCATATGTTTGTTTCGTTTTATGAAACCATGATTTCAAGGCAATCTGGGTTTCATTTAGTCACAATTAGTATCGGTGCAGATGCTGTGCTAAGCGATGAAAGGACGAAAGTAATTCGGGCATGAAGGGAAAATCTTTGGCATGAGTCTCACCTGCCAGCTTTGGGATGGATGGAGGCTAGGAACACTGCTTTTTGTACCCAAAATAATAAAATGACTGGACAGCTGTAAAATAATCACAGCTAGTGTTTCACACTGGGAGTGGTGATTTGGCAAGAATGGAGGCTTGGGAGGGCTTTAATTATATTGTGTTAATTAATTGGAGTCAAAGAGGGTGGCTTTGTGCATGCTGTGTGACATGCCTTGCCCATTCTCGAGTCTTCTATAATGCTTGAGTGACACTGTCTAGTCTCTTCTGTAGCCTACAATTGGGGTCAGCCCCATGGCAAAAAGTTTAATTGGATTTCTTTTTCTTGACAGCTGCTTTGTGCAATAGTTGCAGACTTCAGGTCTCCAGGGGTTATTAAACAGAGAAGTGATTAGTGAGATGTGCAGTTCTTGGGTGCGGTGGGAAAAGAAAGGAGGAGGGGGAGCATATTTGTGTCTGTATGTTACAACCATCTTTTTTTCTGAACTGTTCTGAGGGGCTCCTTAAGGATTCCCAGGTTCTCAACCTTCCAGCCCCAGTTCCCATTTGATGAATGTAGCAGATCACTTCCCCTTGGAAGATTGTCTGCCTCTTCATGTTTGAGGGGCCAGTCCCAGAACTATTGTTCTTCTAGAACTTGATTGAGTAACTGCTTCAACTTTCTATGTTGGGGAGGGTGTCACAAAAGTTGGAAAAATTCCTAGGCTTTAATAGAATTTTAGAATTGGAAGGAGCTGTAAGGACCATCTAATGCAATCCATGCCATGTAGCACTCCTGAAATATGCCATTCATTCTCTTTTTAAAGACCTCCAAAAAACCCAAAAAACAAAACCCAACCCAGAGACCACACACCTCAAGGCAGTCTTTTTCCCCATCAAACAATTCTTTCAGAATGCATTGTTTTGTTTTTTGGAATTAGAATTAGACTGCATTGGTTTGTTTTTTTCATCTCTGGAGCAACAGAAAACAAGTTTGCTCCATCTTCTGTATTGCATTCCTTTAGAGATTTAAAGATGACTATGGAAACCCACTGAGTGACCTTGGGCAGCTCACATACTCTCAGCCTCAAAAAACCTGTAATAGGTTCCCTTTAGAGTTGCCATATGTCAGAAATGACAGAAATGAAGGCACAAAACAATAACAACAATCATATTACCTCCCAGTCTTCTCCTTTACACTAAACATATTAAGCTCCCTAAGTCATTCCTCATAAAATGTTGTAGTTTTTGTTATGTGCTTGCAAGATGACTTCAACTTATGGTAGCCCTGTCATAGGAGTTTTCTTGGCAATATTTATTCAGAGGGGATCTGTCTATGCCAGGGGTAGGCAACCTTTTTGAGCCGGGGGCCGGTCCCGCGAAGTCCTTTCCGCCTCTGGGCTGAGGGGGGTGGGGGGAATGGTGGTGCCATTCAGAACAGAACACGGAGAAACAGAATGGTTCCCAATTGGCAAAGGGGTCAGACAAGGCTGCAGACTTCACTGTAATATGTATGCAGAATATATTATAAGAAAAGCAGGCTTGGGCACCGAAGAAGGAGTGAGAATAGGAGGAAGGAATATCAACAATCTAAGATATGCAGATGACACCATAATCTAGCAAAAAACCTCACAGACCTGGAGCACCTACTAAAGAAGATCAAAGAAGAAAGTGCA